TCTGAGGGACCTTCCTCTTCCCCTTTGCTGTTCTCCATGGTGTCACTTGCAAGAGGGCTGTCCTGGGAGCCCTGAGAGCGCAGGGTTGTCACCAGCAGAATGGCCTGGTGTCAGCTGTGAGCAGGATGCTCAAGTTTGTGTATTCACCAATAAGGGGATTTCCCCACAGTCTGGCTGAAGAGCAGGACAAAGGGAGGGAAGACTGAGCGGAGCCATGAGTGAGTGGGACAAAAGAGCATCTGCCAAGAGGGGGGGGCCTTTACAAAGGAGGGAAATAGGGGAATTCCCCACAATCCTTCCGCACGAGGAAGGAGTCTGGTGACCTTAGGTGAGAACAGATGGCGGGAGGCAGGAGTTTGGTATAGGCGGGCCAGGAAGGCTGTGACTTCTGAGTACCTTGTCCAATGGCGAAAAGAAGAGGGCATCCCTTGGCCAGGAAATTAGGATAAAAGAGGGGCTGCATCCTCCAGCAATTTGAGAGACCCCACAGGGATATGCCCGGTGGACTCTCCCTTTATTCGAATAAAGTTTTAGGACTCCTCTGTTCTGTCTCCTTTTTGGACATTCAGTTTTTGACAGCGAGATTTTCCGCACAGCTGCTTAGCTGTTATTTCTGTTATCACTATCCTTCTACTATTATTATTTTGCCTCCTGCTGCCCAAAGAGGCATCCGGGTTTTTATTTTTGAGCTGTTCTGATTCTAGCTTTGGGTTTTGTGAGCACAGAAAAGCCACAGGGCAGAGCAGCAAGGGACACACTGGTGTCTCTGCGCTCCAGGCGTTGCTGCTGCAACCTCTGTTTGCTCAAAAACACCCAAGTGAAGAAAACAGCCGGCCGGAGCCTGGCCTGAAACCAGCAACACATCTTACAGCATATCTGTTGTGCCTACAAGGGAAAAGATGCTTTATAAAAATGTATTCATATATTATTTTCAGATTGAATGGCTGTTCAAAACTGTCCTGAGTCGGCAGTCTGTTTTGCCTCGCGCCGGGGATACACCAAGCCAGCGCTCCAGTGCACTCTCATGTTAGGAGCAAACGATCAACGCCGGGTTGGCAGGTACAATACAGCAGCTGCTTGGTTCTGTAGCGTCCCAAAGGGCAACATTTATGTAGCTGTACGTATATTTATGCACGTGAGTATTTGGCCAGCTCCCTGTTTGGTTCTTGGGCAGTTTCAGTTCCAGGCGCTGCTCTGGGGCAGGCTGAGGGGAAGGGCGCTCCGGGCGGACACTTCACGAGGCCAATATGTTTTGTTTTGCCCTCAGCTCTGCTCCTGCCTCAGCGTCCTAAGCCATCTGAAGCGCCCCCGCCTGAGCGAGGGCTGTGGGGGGGAACAGGCGCTGCGATTTTGG